AAACTTGCCTTAGGTGAGAAATGGGCTGCATCTCAGTGTGTAAATCTGGGCCCCGGCTGGGCTTGACTGGCCTGAGGGATATTAGTAAGAGTCTAGTTTTATGCTGGGGATCAGAGGAGAAACATCTATGGAGACACAGATCCTGGGGTAGAATGAGGAATAACAATATCTTGTGCTTCCATCCCCATGATCAAATAGACAAATGGACCCCATACTACCTATGTGGTGACCGGTATAACACATGGAGGATGGGACCTTACAACTGCACCGGCTGGAACAAATATACCACATGCCTTCCCCGGCTACCTAAGGTATCTACTGTGACCAGCAGACACCTGGGGTCTGGGACATACATCTCCCTCCACTTCCAAACCACAGTGACTGATATCTCACCATTGGTTCTTCATCCCTTTCCCACCAACAACACTCCAGGGCTCTTTCTCAAGTGTGAAACTAGGGTTTGTATTTTCTAAGAGACAGGGGAGCCCAGGAGTGGAGCTGTATGAACAGCTCCTGGGTCCCCTGGATCCCAACCTGTGGCTGGGCTCTGTGGGGACACAACGAGTGTGCATCCCTGACTTGCTACCTTCCTGAAGCCTGCCACCGGGCCCCTCCCCACACGGTCTGATTAATGAGAGGTTGAGTCTCCCTCCTTTGTGATGTGAGCAAGGACAAGATAAGGAAGAACAAGGCCACCCAGTGGCAGTGCAGGAGATACAGGAGATACAGGAGAGTCTTCCAAGGAGATAGAAAGGAGCCCAGCGGCAGGCCCAGGCCGGAGGGAAGAGGAAATTTGAGAGGACCGAAGGCCAGAGCACAGGTTCTTAACTGTAGCTGATGGCTGATCCCCTTGACTGAACCCTTTTGAATCAGAACTTCCTTGAGAATCAGGATTTTTCACAAGTCTGCCGGTGATTCTGATGGGCAGGCAATATTATAATATTGACACTACCTCACCCCAGTTAGGGACACTAACTGGGACACCAAGACATAACTACAGAATCAGGTAGACAAAGAGAGGTAAAATCAAAGGCAAAAGCTGAGGCAAGGGTGCCAAAGGCCTAGGGTCCAGACCCCATCCATCTATAGCTCCATTTCCTTCCCTTCCCATCCTCCACCCCACCACCCCCCCACCTCCCCACCCGCCCCAGAGGCGGAGTACTGGTTGCCAGGTGACAACCCAAAACACTCAGAGCCTGGGAGAGTAGGGGAGCAACTGGAGCGTGGGAGAAGACACCGCCTGGGACTGGTCTGGGTGTTCAGGGAGGATCCCCAAAAGGAGGAACTCTCCCGGGTCAGAGTTTGAGATAGCACGTGTGCCACTTTCAGGAGGCCGGAATGGAGACAGCTGTTCGAGGATTGCCTTTACAGTGCCCTCCTAAGCCGGAACGACTCAACGCCTACGGTAACAGATGGCGGGGCTGTAGTGGGGTAGACCAGAGGGACGGTGGGATGGGACCTGGGGAATGGGGCAGAGGCCAAAGATAGAGGGTGTAACCCTGTCTCCTCTCTCCGTCGCTGCTTTTATTTCCATCTCTTCCTATCTCTGACTCTGTCTCTTCCCTTTCCTGTAACTCTGTATCTGGATCTTTCCGGCTTGGGTCCATGGGTGCAGAGCGCGAGGTGGTGGTGAACATGTTGAACTCGCTGTCACGGAACCAGCCGCTGCCGCAGATCACGCGCCGGTGCGGGTGCGTGGACCCTCTGCCCGGCCGCCTGCCCTTCCAGGGTTATGAAAGCCCTTGCTCTGGCCGCCACTACTGTCTGCGCGGGATGGACTATTACGTCGCCGGAGCACCCTGCGCAGAACGCCGCTTCCGGCCTTTGTGCACAGAAGAGCCGACTGTAAGGTTCGCAGGGCTGCTTCTGCCTTAGGCAGGCGCCGCTCCCCAGCAAGCCCCTAATGCCCCCCAATCCCCCCACCCCACCCACATGCAAGTCCAGCTTTACCCCAGCTTTGCGCACCCCAACCCTCACCAGTTCCAGCTGTGCTCTGCCTCTGTGTCGACCCTACCGTGCCTCCCGCCACCTCTATCCACTTACTAGGCCCTGTCCTGTCCCGCCCTCCGGCGCCAAGGCCTGAACGGACCGCTGAGACCAGAGAACCTGCATGAAAATTCCTCCAGGTTCTCGGCCCTATCCCTTCCAAACTGGGCTCAAGGTCAACCTAGCTCTGGAGGCCCGAAGGTTGTTTGTTTGTCATATCCCCTTCCCACACCTTTTTCCCTACCTGGACACCCAGCCATAGAGACGCAGGTTCTAGCCTCTAGAGTGCCAATGTGTCCTCATAAAAGCGGCCTCTATTCCTGGGTCTTGGGTCACCATCTATGGGCAGGGTCATTGCCGGGTGTTATGTGAGCAAGGAAATGGTAACTGTATTACCAGAGGGGTCCTGGCCTTAGAACACCACACCACCTCTTAAGTTAGCCTAGCGTGTTACTGCTGAGGAAACGGGCCCAAGAGCTCAGCTGCAACCCAGACTGGGGCGCAACCCTCTTCCCGCACCAGGTGGCAATCAAGGCAGGCTGAGCCTGGGAGAACTCCAAAGTTCGGGGTCTAGAAAGCTTCTGGAGGAAAAGCGGGGGAGGGGGTCCTAGATCTTGCCCCTACCCCACCGTGATTTGCCCCTCCCTTCCCCAGGCAAAAAGTCTAATTGTGTGAGGCTGAGTCTCATCTGTTACAAGGGCAGGGGGGAGCAAGAAAGTGCCTGAGCCTTAGAAATGGCTTTAGTGCTGGAATAATTCCCTTCCAATGGAGAGGACCCGGGTGCTCCCAGCTCTTCAACGACTGGAGCCCAACACCCCCAGAATCCAGCGTACTCCCACAGCCCAGGCTGGGCAGCGCAAACCAGGACGAACGAGGATAGGGACTTTAACGTGTCATCCCAGAGGTGATGCTTCGATGGGGTCTTGAAGGGCCAAGAGGCCCGAGGGGAAGATAGCCGCTCAGGGTCTTAGTCTGGGTTTTGAGGCCCTACCTCTCCGGGCCCACCACTTCCTTCTCCAGGAGTGTATCGCCTTACGAGCACCGGCCCGGAATGCAATGTGCTGTTATAACTCCCCCGCCGTCATACTACCCTTGTCCGAACCTTAGGTAAGTTCGGCCCAAATGGCGTTTGGCGCGGCGGGGAACGCTGGGACGAGTTGGGGGTGGGGGGGTGGGGGCGGAGCGGGGAACTGACCGCTGCGATGCACTGACCAGAAGATGCCACCAGGGGGCGCTAGTGTCATGGGGTCATCAAAGCTGGCAAGGGAATGGAGGACCCTCCATGAGAGCGTTCTGAGGTTCTGGCCTTCAAGGGTTACAGGTTGGCAGTGGGGCTCAGAGTCAAGAGATCAGGGCATTCGGTTCAGGGATTAAAATAGAGGATAAGAAATTAATGTTAGGGAGCCAGTACTGGGAATCAGAAATTTAACAGTACAACCTGAGGTCAGAAGGTCAATGTTGGAGCTCGGGGTAAATATTAGGGGCAAAATGTTGGGATACAGTTAGCATTGAGAATTGGAATCAGACCTATGAGGGTCCAAAAGGGCTGACCCATTTCTCCCTACAGATGGGACACAAGTCACTTCAAGAAGACCGGTGGCCCCCAGAGAAACAGCTATGTCATCCACCCTGAGTTTGTGTCTGAAATCTATCCTGACTGCTATTGCTGGTAGAGCCCAGGCTGGCGGGGCCAAGGGGGCCCAGCAGTAAATAAATTCTTCACCCCAAAAGCTGCCTCCTGTGTCCTTATCCCACAGGATCTGGCAGTGAGGAACCAATCACTCAGGCTCCTGCCAAGCCCCTTTAACTGAGATGCATTTTCTTAGTCTTCCTGTCCTGAGCCCTTCTTGTCCCCACCATCTCAGTACTTCCCTTGGGTGACCCTGAGTGCCCTCCTGATACACAACAATAGCTAGTGGCCTCCCTCTACCCAAAATAATGGGTCAATCTAGCTGTGCAGGGAAACCCCAAGAGGGCTCTCCAGCTGACATTTGTTCAGTATCCCCCAAACCTAGATGTTCCCTCACCCCCCTCATCTCAGGAGACGCAGTCTTCCATTCTACAGATACCTGTCCCTGTACCCAAAGTTCTTGATCTCTACTCCCAGAGTCTCCATGACAGCCCTGAAAAAGCCTATATTCAGACATCCTTGCTGCCCTTTCTTACCCAAGAGTCTAAAACATAATTTTGGAGGGTTTCATGACTAAGAAATTTCAAATTACAGAGCAAAGCTGTTTCTCTGTCCCTCCGGAAATGAGGTGGGGTGTTCTGGAATCTCTAGTATTTTTGCACCCATCTGGTCCCCAGAGCAGGGGTATGACGGGGCACGTTCCCCAACCTACAGCATGGGCATTTCTAAAGGTGTCACCACGGGGTGTGCGTTGCGGGGGGGAGATCAAAGGGGGCACTGCAAAATACCGAGGTCCCCAACCTCAGATACTACCGGTCTGTTCCTGTGGGAACCGACAACTTGGGCCTCTGGCTGGTGGAACTAGGCCCCTTCCTTGGGGTCCTTGATTGGATCCACCCTGTACTGAGCCTCTGCGATTCTTCCAGAACTCCGCCACCCTTTTTCTATATGAGAGAACTTTTTCCATATGGGAAACTTTTTCCGCATAAAGAGCTTAATGAGAGCATTATGCAAAGATGGCCTCCACCTGCCCAAATCTGGAGGGAAAGGAATCCCAAGAGCCAGCCCTGCCCCCTTTACCCTGACGCTCGCTCGCTCCTCATACACATCCCAAATTTAGCCTAGAGGTGCGAGAACCCCAACACTCTACAACTGCTCCTTTCTCCAGAACTACATTTCCCAGAAGACCTAGTAAAGAGCCCCGCCAGCATGCGGTGACCACGGCCCAGCCGGGGCGGACCTGAAGGCAGAGGGCGGAGGCAGGAGAAACCCTGCTGGTGGTGGGTCAGAGTTGTTCCGAGGTGGGCACAGAACATTGGGAGAAGATGGGGGCGAAGGGGTTGGACCTCAAGTCCGCGCGACAATGTGGGAGGAGGGCTCGAGCGCCAGGGGCGGGGCTGGACGCCAAGGCCCGAAGCGAGACCGAACGACCGGGGCGTGGCCGAACAGCAAGAGGGCGGGTCCCGAGGAGGGCCTCAGCTGTCCCCAGCTAAGCAGCGCCCCGCGCAGCGCCGTGGCAGCTGAACTCCCGCTAGCTTGGAGGGAATCTTCGGGAGCCTCCCTTCGCCCCCACTTCTGGGGTCACTGCCGTGAGTGAGCCCAGGGGGAGGACCTTGGGGGGTTGCTGAGGAAACACACTTCCTGAACTTTCGCTCCTACTGAATGAGTAGGGGGTAACGAGCCTGGACACCTGGGCACCTCCTCAAGCCGCGGTTCCCAGCGGGCCGCCGGCCCTTTGACCTCAGTCTGTCCCTTTGGATATTGTAGCTGTAGAGCTGGGGTGGGGGTGGAGTATTCCAGGCTGTAGGCGCAGTCACTTGATCCCCTCCGATCCCGTCCTTGGGGAGGGCAGGAAGATGGGCTGGATCGAGTTGCCTTTGACATTTCCCCCCTCCCTGGAATTATGTTCTACAAACGACTCAGTTTGGCATGGCCTCCCCGTTTTGGGGCCGGGCCGGGCCCTCCCCTTCAGATCGGGCTAGAGCCTGGCAGCCAAGACCGAGCTTGAGTGTCAAGTGGGGAAAGGTTTGGCTAGGGCAGACCCCACCTGCCGGCATTAGCCTGTGGTTAGCCAGATGACGGAGCCGGCAGATTACAGGGGTCTCTCGCGCTGTTAACACGGGAATCACAGTTCCTCCTCCACAGCCCCAGTACGAGATGCCATTAAAATTGCCCTTTTTCCACCCCAAGGAGCCTTTCTGGAGCAAGCAGCAGCACCAGCCCTTGAGAAGATAGGCTTCACTATGCACACATCCACCTACCTGATGGGGCGCCTGTCCCACCCTCTGACCCACAGAGCTCCTTTCCTGTGCTGCATTCAGACTGCCAGTCAGACCATTATCTCTCATCTCCTAAAAGTTGTGCTGCAGAGAGTTAAGCTGGGATTTCAGATTTAGGCAACCTTGCCACCTAGGAACTTCAAACAGGTTCCTTTTTCTGTCTGGACAAGTTTCTTCATCTGTAGACTAGGCACTATAGCTATGCCTCTTGGTCAGTATTATTGTTAGCGTTGGATGCTGTGGTGGCACAGGGAGACCAGCGCCAAGGCCTGCATGGAATGGGTTTCCAGGACTGTGAGGCCCTGTCCTTCAACAAAAAACCTTGGAATCCTAGAACATTAAGATTCTCAGAACCTACTGGAAATGGCTTTTGAGGTCATCTTGGTGGCCTCTCCATGCCTCCAGTGTCATGAGATGAGCTGACTTAGCATGAAAGTTTCGAGGATGAGGTGTTCTCTGTCCTCTTCAGATATGGACCCTTTCCCCTTATTCCCTCAGTGCCCCGAATGGAGCCTTATTTGTCCTGAATGAGTGAATGAATGAATGTAAATGTATGGCAAGTCTGGCCTGGGCCACCTAAGGCCTTCTTTGGGTTCTGCTTAGCTTGAGGGCATCAGCTAAAAGCTTGTGTGCATTCTGCAGGAGGGCTTTTCTAACCTGTACCCTGGTTTCTAACCTGTACACTGGTAGGGGATGCAATAGAGGAATGGAAGGAATGAGAGGCAGGGAGTAAGAGGCTGTTCCAGACAGCTGTTCCAGCTGGAACTGACCAGCTTAGAGATTTAGAGAGAAGGAGCACAGAGAATGAAGCCCTGAGACAAAATTGTAGTGAGCTGTATATTGACATCTGGGATCAAAATTCTGGTCTGCACCTGTCATTCTTTTTTTCTTTTAAGATGTTTTATTTCTTTATTGGAGAGAGAGAGAGATCATGAGTGGAGGGGATGGGAAGAGTGAGAAGCAGACTCCCTGCTGAGCAGGGAGCCCAATGTGGGACTCAATCTCAAGACCCTGGGATCATGACCTGAGCCGAAGGTCGGGTCGCTTAACCAGCTGAGCCACCCAGGCACACTGCACCTGTCATTCTTGATGATAGTCTCTTCATGGGAGAGGTGGGGGAGGTGAGAACCCTGAGAGTTCTGGCATCTCCTTGGAAGTAGCTGAGGACTTAGAGACAGACACTGGCATCTGGGAGGAGGCTAATTACTGTTTGCCAGTCTCCCTCTCTCCTTCCTCCCAGTTGGAACAGATGGGCAGCTGCCTGGCTGGCACCATGTATATCTGTGTGTACACCTGGCTGGTGCTATTTCTTTGTTGAACTCTGCCCTGAGTGCTGAGATATGGTCCTTGGCCTTGGGCAGCAGATTAGGACACATACCTCCTCCCCGCAAATCTATGGATTTTTTGCAGTCCTATGTTTAACATACAGTATATGAGGGTCTATGTGTGCAGTAGGGGGTGTCCACTCCTTGGAGAGCTGATAGGTGGGGGAGAGACATTGGCTCAGTGTGGGTAGGTGAAAGTTCCTAGAGCAGATGGCTGAAGGATTTAGGTTAGGGAAAGAATAAGCTTGGTGGTCATAGGATAGGCCTGGTCGTAAATGAAAATCAGAAAGGCAGATGAGACCACATCATGCCTTGACCCTCAATTGCAAAGCTTATACTTCTGAACTTAAACCTAGGGATCATTAGCAGCTCTCTAAAGTAAGAGATATTGTCTCATAAGTGCTTTAAAAAGATTGCCATAGTTGCTGTGAGCAGAAGGCACTGGGGCAAAAGAAAGTGGAAGCAGGGAGGCCTATTGGGGAAGTACTGCAGTGATACATGGGAGAAATGACAGTGCCCAAAGTAGGGCAGGGGCAGAGGAGAGTGGCTGTGTAGTGGAGACAAAGCCAAGAGGTAGCCAGCCAACAAATGTGTTGCCAAAAGGAGAGCAGGAAGGTTGGCAGAGAAATGGACTTGGTGATCAATTGCTGAGAACAGGGTGGAATTTGGGAGCAGAAAGTGATCTGAGAAGTCACCATGGCCCCCATGCTAAACTTTTTATCCCAGCCCTAATGAACAAACCCAACCCTGCCTCTCTCCAAACCAGGCCCATGACTGCATCTGGCTTTGGGTATCTTCTCTAATCTCCAGATTTAATCTGGCTTTTGACTAAAGATTAAATTCCATGCCTAAGATGTTCCCCCTTCCTCTCTCCTCTCCCCCTGCAGGGGCAGGAAAACCAGCCCACTGCCCTGTTAAAGATCTTAAAGAGCTGGTTGGATTATCTGCCCTCTCCCACCAATTGCCTTCTCCAGACCCCTTGCCTGCTCCTCAGCCTGAACTGGCCCAGGCATGATCCACCTGGCTAATTCTGTGATTCTAGACAGCTCCCTGACCCTGTCTGGGTTGTTTCTCCACCAGGAAAATGAGGATGCATGCCATCTGCCTCCTCCATTCAGAGTCCTAATTTTGGCAAAAGCTCATGCTCATGAGGAAGAGTGGTTTAGACACAAATAGATGGTCCTGGTAAGGGTCAAGCCTTTATGCCCAGACCTTACATCCCAGTAATATAACCTTCCCAAAATATACACCTCTTTCTGATGCAGCAAAGGGAAATACTACGGAATGAGAAACCTCAGTTCTACATCTCTCTTCCCCTTTCAGAATCAGGCAGTCCAGGTTCAGATGTGCTTTGTCAGGTGGTTCCACTGCCCACTCCTTCCCTAACTGGGGACTGATGCCCCAGAACCCTCAGGAGAAGAGCAACGCCTACCCCCGCCGCCGCCCTGGGAGCCACGTGGACCATAAGAGCTCCAAGGCCATCACAGCCGCAGCGATGTACACCTTCTTGCCTGATAACTTCTCGCCCACCAAGCCCAAGCCCTCCAAAGAGCTGAAACCACTACTAGGCTCCGCGGTACTGGGGTTGCTGCTGGTGTTGGCTGCAGTGGTGGCCTGGTGCTATTACAGCGCCTCTCTACGCAAAGCAGAGCGCCTGCGCGCCGAGCTGCTGGACCTCAACCGAGGCGGCTTCTCAATCCGTAACCAGAAGGGCGAGCAGGTCTTCCGCCTGGCCTTCCGCTCAGGTGCGCTGGACCTCGACTCCTGCAGCCGCGACGGCGCAGTCCTCGGTTGTTCTCGCACGGCCGATGGGCGCCCCCTGCACTTCTTCATCCAGACTGTGAGGCCCAAGGATACAGTCATGTGCTACCGCGTGCGCTGGGAGGAGGCGGCGCCAGGGCGCGAGGTGGAACACGCTATGTTTCTGGGCGATGCCGCTGCTCACTGGTACGGCGGTGCTGAGATGAGGACCCAGCACTGGCCCATCCGCCTAGAGGGCCAGCAAGAGCCGCAGCCTTTTGTCACCAGCGACGTCTACTCCTCTGACGCCGCATTCGGAGGCATCCTCGAGCGCTACTGGCTGTCATCGCGTGCAGCTGCCATTAAGGTCAACGACTCAGTGCCCTTCCACCTGGGCTGGAACAGCACCGAGCGCTCGCTGCGGCTGCAGGCACGCTACCACAACACGCCCTACAAGCCACCTGCTGGCCGCCCTGCCGCACCGGAGCTCAGCTACCGTGTGTGCGTCGGCTCTGACGTCACTTCCATCCACAAATACATGGTGCGGCGCTATTTCAACAAGCCCTCGAGAGTGCCGGCCCCTGAGGCCTTCCGGGACCCCATCTGGTCCACGTGGGTGCTGTACGGGCGTGCCGTGGACCAGGACAAAGTGCAGCGTTTCGCCCAGCAGATCCGCCAGCACCGATTCAACAGCAGCCACTTGGAAATAGACGACATGTACACACCTGCCTATGGAGACTTCGACTTCGACGAGGCCAAGTTCCCCAATGCCAGCGACATGTTCCGCCGTCTGCGTGATGCCGGCTTTCGCGTCACGCTCTGGGTTCACCCATTTGTCAACTACAACTCCTCCTGCTTTGGTGAGGGAGTGGAACGCGAGCTGTTTGTGCGCGAACCCACCGGGCGGCTGCCCGCGCTTGTGCGCTGGTGGAATGGCATCGGCGCGGTGCTCGACTTCACACGCCCAGAGGCTCGAGACTGGTTCCAGGGGCACCTGCGGCGGCTGCGCTCGCGCTATGCTGTGGCCTCCTTCAAGTTTGACGCAGGCGAAGTCAGCTATTTGCCGCGGGACTTCAGCACCTACAGGCCGCTGTCCGACCCCAGTGTATGGAGCCGACGCTACACCGAAATGGCGCTGCCCTTCTTCTCTCTGGCGGAGGTCCGCGTGGGCTACCAGTCACAGAACATCTCATGCTTCTTCCGCCTAGTGGACCGCGACTCTGTGTGGGGCTATGATCTGGGGCTGCGCTCGCTCATCCCTGCCGTGCTCACCGTCAGCATGCTGGGCTACCCGTTCATCCTGCCTGATATGGTGGGCGGCAACGCAGTGTCTGAGCGCACAGCCGGCGGTGGCGAAGTGCCAGAGCGCGAGCTCTACGTGCGCTGGCTGGAGGTGGCCGCCTTCATGCCCGCCATGCAGTTCTCGGTCCCACCCTGGCAATATGATGCTGAAGTGGTGGCCATCGCCCACAAGTTTGCCGCCCTGAGGGCCTCGCTTGTCGCGCCGCTCTTGCTGGAGCTGGCTGGTGAGGTCACTGACACAGGAGACCCCATCGTGCGTCCGCTCTGGTGGATTGCGCCCGGTGATGAGACGGCGCACCGCATCGACTCGCAGTTTCTTATCGGAGACACACTGCTGGTGGCGCCAGTCCTGGAGCCGGGCAAGCAGGAGCGAGACGTCTACCTGCCTGCCGGCAAGTGGCGCAGCTACAAAGGCGAGCTTTTTGACAAAACCCCAGTGCTGCTCACCGATTACCCGGTCGACCTGGACGAGGTCGCCTACTTCATCTGGGCATCCTGACCCAGCCCAGGACCTAGGAACCCCACAGCCCTAGCCCCTGCCTTCATGCAGGCCTTGAGCCCTCCATCACAACCACACCGTGTATCCCCAGGAAGTCCCCACCTCTGTACCACCCACCAAGCAGGTGCTGACAGAAATGTGCTCCAGCCAGCCCCAGGGGACAGGTGAGGGGGCGCTGAAGCAACTTCCCATTCTAAGGCTCAATCCTAAAGACCTTTTTCCCTCCACACTCACTCCACTCTGCAGAAACCTATTTCCTGAGGTGAAAGAGAATCCAGAAGGAAAATATCAGCTCTCTTCCTGCTACACATGATTGTGTTTTAAAAGCACAAAAAGAAACTTTACCCTCCATCCTGGCCTGAATGGCCATCTTTGCCTTTCTGAGGTGGGGACCTGATCCCATTTAAAGTCCCAAAATAGCCCCCTGCTACACTTAGAAGGGCACATTCTTGATGTTGGAAGACAAGCCCAGAGTTCCCAGCAGTGACCTGAAGTGTGGCTGACCTGGTCCCACCCCAGCTAGGGAGATGGGATGGAGGTGTTTGGGCAGCAGACAAAGAGGAAGGCGATCCCATCCCAGAGGACAGGAAGACTGGGCAGAGCACAGAGCCATCATTGTTGTCCCTCGTTTGTGAAGAGACTCCTAACACTGTACTTAACCCATTTATGTAAACACATGGGCTCAGCCCTGGGCCAGGGCCATGGCCTACCAGCCAGACTTGCAAGGCCATGCAAGGCCAGACTTTATGCCTTAACTCAAGAAACTGTGTGTGTGTGTGTGTGTGTGTGTGTGTGTGTGTGAGAGAGAGAGAGAGAGAGAGACAGAGAGAGAGACAGAGAGAGACAGAGACAGGCACCATGTTTTCCTGAATCTGTGGAATAAACACAACACTTTTGAAGCTGGATAAGCCTGGAAAGAGGGGGCAGGGAGCAAATTAGAGGTTTTGATTGTTGAGCTGGCCCCCTCCTGGTTGATGTCCCTGGGACTATAGTAGGAAATAAACAGCCCTTTCAAGATCTCTCAGCTGCTTCACTCCCTGCATACATGGCAGGAGTGTGGCCTAAAAGGGAGCACTGTTCTTGTGGTGGTGGTGGTGTGCTTCCGCACAGGAGCTCCACAGGCACGTCAGCACCTGTAAATACCCATACAGGGTAAGCTCTTTCATTTCAGCCATTTTCTCTTTCTAAGAAGAGCAGCCCCAGCCAGAGTGAGTTGTTCCTGCCTTCGCAGCTGAGTCTGAGGAAGAGATGGCTTGCCAAAGTGGGGAGGTGGGAAACAGGGCAGGGCTCAGCTTCCCTCAACCCCTAAAGAATGCATCCTTTTGCCCACTCCTCCACCCCCTCTCTTTGCCCTACGTGAAGAATGCCTAATGAAAGTTCTGGGCTCTTTCAGAGGTCCATGTTGACTCCTGATTCTACCACTCTCATATGTAAGCTGTGTGATTTTAAGCAAGCCACTTAACCTTGTTGAGCCTCAGTTTCCTCATATGTAAAATGGTGATGATAATGCCTACCTCCCAGGTTGTTGTGGGAATTAGAAGCACTGATGTATGTAAAGGGCCTGGCACGAGTAGGTGCTCAATAAAAGGTAGCTATTATCCTGTTATGCTGTTTCTTGGCGGGGTTTGCACAAAAATAACAAGGATTTTTCCAGGCCCTAGCTCGTCGCCCAACTGGCTTCCTCTGGGCCTGCCTGTGACAAATTTTTCCCAAACTTTGGTATATAACATCCAGCTGAGCTCTAAGTTTGTGACCCAAGGGACACTGTGGTCCAGGAAAAAGGCAAGAGGAGAGCTGTCTGAAGATGAGATGTCAGGAGCCAGGATTCCTGGGTCTCCAGGAGACGGTGAGTAAATGAATTAGCTTCCTTCTCCTTTTTGTAAGAGCATCCACCAATCAGTACTCAGTAATGAACCTCCTGGGGCTCTGGCACCCACCCATAGGCTCTGAAGTGACTATAGAGGCAGAACACCGAGGCTGGGCCCTGAGAGGTTCCCTAAGTGGCTGGAGAGCATAACTCTTACTTGAATGGCCCTCCAGCTTTCTGTGCAAGCTGAAGCCAGTTTAACCAATCTCTTGAGCTTTGGTTTCTGCATGTTTATTTTTACTTTTTTTTTCTTTTTTTGAGGGAGAGAGAGAAAGAAGAGGAGGGGCAGAGGGAGAGGGAGAGATAATCTTTTTTTTTTTTTTAATTTATTTATTTGACAGGCAGAGATCACAAGCAGGCAGAGAGGCAGGCAGAGAGAGAGGGAGAAGCAGGCTCCCCGCCAAGCAGAGAGCCCAACGCAGGGCTCAATCCCAGGACCCTGGGATCATGACCTGAGCCGAAGGCAGAGGTTTTAACCCACCTAGCCACCCAGGCGCCCCGGAGAGAGAGAATCTTAAGCAAGTTCCATGCCCAGCACAGATCCTAACGTGGGGCTCCATCCCACAACCCTAAGATCATGACCTGAGCTGAAATCAGGTGTAGAGGCTTCACCGACTGAGCCACCCAGGCACCCCAGTTTCTTAATCTTTTGAATGGAATTTCTAGGATTCATTGAGATGTGCCTGCAAAAAAATTTTATGCAAAAATTGTATGTAAAAAAAATTTTATGCAAAAACGGGCAGACAGTAAGTGCTCAATAAGTGGTAACTCCTGAATTTGGGGAGAGAGGGGGAGGTGAGGGAACTGGGCTGGAAGCAATATCTCGCCTATTCTGGCCCCTTCCAGACTTGTCCAGCACCCCATCTCTGCCCCATCCTCTTGTGCATTCCAAATTTATGTCTCCCTGCACAACTGAATGGGAGGACTGTCTGTATTCCATGGGACTTCCAGCACCCCTGTATGATCAGGATTTCTCATTTGTCTCTCCTGTACTACTGGGCTGGTTGATGGGGACTGATATGTGGGAATGGGAACTCCTCCAGAGGTAATGGAGAGGCTCAGGAAATCTGGACTGGGGCCTAATGCCCCCATTCTGTGACCCTATGTACCCTGAGAGTCTACTTTAGTCTCCCTTCTAATACCATATGAATCAGCTGAACCCTACCCATGCCCTCTAAGCCCAAGATGTGAGTTTTCTGAGCGTCTTTGCCCTGTTCCTCAAGATTTGGGTAAAATGTCTCTCACCCTGGGTGGCTCCAGAGCAAGTCTTCTGCTGGTTCCCTCACCAAGTTTCTGGTTGCTTTTCCCCTCCTCAGGTCCAAGGCTAATGGTGACCTCTTCATTCCCTTACCAATTCTAGACTGGACCATGGCAATGCCCTCCTAACCTTTTCAATTCTTGGACCCTTCAATCTAATCCACATAGAAGCTCAGGAAATCTTTCTGAAATTCAATCAAATCACTTAGGAAAATATCTAAGCTCTGATGTTCAAGGCCTCTAATATCTGAATACTTTTCATACCTCTGTTTCTGTTTTACTCACACACACATACTTATGAGTATATTTTGAAAAGCATTTGAAGAACTACTACCTTCTGTTCTGGGAACAGCTGCATGGCCCATCCCTGCAAGGCCAGGCCTGCCTGGACAGGGTGTGTCCACAGTGGCAACTGGGTGATTTCCTTTCCTGCCATTGTCCAACTCAGTGGGACTTCTGCTGACGCCCTCCCTTCTCTGGCACACACTCCAGCTTCCAAGGAAGAACCTGGTTTTTATCTTAAGGCTGGTTATTTACTTCATCATGACCAAGAATCTTTCCAGCAGCTTGAGGGGAAGGGAGAATCTTTTTTAAAAAATTTTTAATGTACTTTACCGTTTTAATGGATTACAGGGGAAAACAGAGGCTGACCTTTTTTTATATTGAGATATAATTGATATAACATTGTATTAGTTTCAGGTGTACAGTGTAATGATTGGATATTTCTATGTATTGCAAAGTGATCATCATAGTAAGCCCAGTTAACATCCATCACTATACATACTTACCAAAAAAAAATATTTTTCTTGCAATGAAAACATTCAAGATCTACTCTCCTGGCTACGTACAAATACGCAATAGTTTTATTAACAATAACCACCATGCTGTACATTACATCCCCATAACTTAATAATTTTATAATTGGAAATTTGTACCTTTTGAATCCTTCACCCATCAGGGTATGGGAGAATTCATGGCTTTAAGTGGCAAGCCCTGAGCTTGGCTGGGGTTGGGCTTGGATGAGGAATGGGAAAAGACAGAAGAGGGGGTCCTGTCCCTGAGAATTCCCAGTCTGACGAACAGGAAGAGATTGAGCCTCTGTACTCTGTATCCTTATGCTGTTTTTCTCTCCTTTGCCCCCTTCTCCCAGCAAGACATGAATTGGGAGGGGAAAAGAAAGGGAGGGGAGTAAACGTGGAGTAAGGCACAGAGCTGATCTCACTGGGTACCTATAGCACAACCTGGAGGGGGCAGCAGCGGGCCTGACACAGCCCTCCTCTAGAAGGGAAGGGACAGGTTAGGCCACAATCTGGACCAATAGAGATGTAAGCCTCTGCTCCTCAAACATGGGGGCCCCACTTGGTGGGGGTCTCATACCTGCACAAGTATTTCAGTTGAAATTCTACCATCAAAACTACCATTATAACTTCATTCTTTGGGTCTTCGATTCAGCAAAGAAGTGCATACTATGGGAGTGTCAGGTAGTGTGTCTGGGAGTCAAGAGGGCATTTTAGTTTTCCAGAGCACACCCTGGTGAAGATAAGTCTGGTAAACACTTCTTCACCCTCGGGTGGTGGAGGCGGCACTGGGGAAAACAAGTGGAGCTCTAAGAGGAGCCTTTTCAGGTGTAGGTGGGGAAGTAGGATGGTATTTATAGCCCGGGAGGTGATTAGGGAAGGCTTCCAGGAGGACATGCTCTGGAGCTTGGAGGGCCTGGGATTGAAGGGAAACTGTGGTCTCGGTCCCGCATCTCTGGGTGAGCCGGCCAGAAGCAAGGTGGCTGTGCTGCCAGAGCCCAGTCAGCTGGCACGTCCGGTTCAGTTCCACTTTCCTGCCTCACCCACCTCCCGCAACAGGCCCTGGTCCCACCTGGCTGGGAGTCCTTCCTGCAGAGACGAGACAAATGTAATTTATGGGGCTCCCCTCACCAAGGTAACTGTGTTTTATTTTATTTATTTTTTATTTTTAAAAAGACTTTATTTATTTGACACAGAGAGAGAGACAGCAAGAGAGGGAACACAAGCATGGGGGAGGTGGTAGGGGGTAGGAGAGGGAGAAGCTGACTCCCTGCTGAGCAGGGAGCGTGATGAGGGCTGGATCCCAGGACCCTTGGATCACGACCTGAGCCAAAGGCAGACGCTTAATGACTGAGCCACCCAGGTGCCCCTATTTTTTTTTTTAAGGTTTTATTTATTCGACACCGAGAGTACAAATAGGGGGAGCAGCAGGCTCCTCTCTGAGTGGGGAGCCTGATATGGGGCTTGACCTCAGGACCCTGGGATCATGACCGAGCCGAAGGCAGATGCATAACCAACTGAGCCACCCATGCACTCTGCCCTCTACCTTTTTAAGCCTCAATTTCCCCAGCTATAAAAAATGAGCAGCAAAGTTAGGTCGTTTTCCAGGTCCCTTCCAACTCTGACGTATAAGGTTTTAGCATCTTGAGCTTCAACAGCCCCCCATGCTGAGAGCACGGGGCTGGCCAGCCCTTGTTAGGAGGCAGCTAGCCTGTGGTTTGGCACCACTGCCCAGCCGGCATTTATTAAATCAGTGGGATGTGGTCCCTGCTGGCCTGGAAAGAGAACATTAAGCTCCAAAAACTTCCTGCAGCAGGCCTCCTTCAGAGAGCACTGTTCAGAGGGGTGAGGAACAAAACCATTCAGGTCCTTGGCAGTGCTCCAAGATCCTGTTCGCTAGTATTTTTGCCCTGTCTGCACGGAGAACCAGTGACTGAAAACATCTGGAAGCCTGCTAAAGACTTGGGTGACTTCTCCCTCCTTCCTTCAGGAGTGGCTGTTCTCGACCTTGGTAATCCAAGTTGACCTTTGCCAATGCCCTTTTGCATCCAACATTCTGCACTTCACTGGGCAACAACCCTCTAATAAAATCCACATGAATCCCTCTGCTAACCGCTCCTGGAAGAGCTGGAGGGTCTCACACCTGCCCTGCATTCCTTGAGCCCTAGTAGCAAGGGAAAACAGGGCTGAGACCCAACTCTTGTGCCTCCGGGTCTTACAGTGGAATTGGAGAAAGGGAGTAGGTAGGAAGAGAGAAATGTCGGTGATGAGAGCTTGCTAGGGTTGCAAAAGGCAGCTGCAGGCCAGGAGTGCCCAGGTGGAGTGACAGGGCTGCTGGGTAGCCTAGCAGAGTCCCTCAGGCCTGGGCATACCTCTTGCCGGTGACCTCAGTCATGCTGACCAGGTCCATGATGACCCTGGGAGACAGGACTGGGCTGAGAATTTGGGGTCCATGTGTCATGGGCCTGGTGGTCCAGAGTCATCTGTTCCTGTCTCCTCTTGTGACCTGGGATATGTCGCAAATTCCTTGGGTCTCTGTTTTAGGAAGTGCCTACTGAGCACCCACAACATACGTGCCTGGTGCTGGAGAGAGGATGCATCAGAGTAGAACACGCCCAGCTCCTGCAATCTGGCCCCACTCGTTTGTATATCCTGTCCGACTCCAGGCCACAAAGTCGCAGGGACACTGGTGGTCTGGGGTCAGAGTACTTGGAGTTCCACAGGCAGGAGAGCCACCCTGGCAGTGTCTGCTCGCTCCTCCCCGACTTCTCCCTTAGCTTCTCTGGGGCACAGTGTGTGGACACAGGATTCCCGCTGGCTAAGGTCAGAGCTCCATTTCACACTTTCTCCCCACCACGGGCAAGAGTCCAAGAAATAAAGACAACAGGTGAGAGGGACAGATAAGCTGCCTAGTTTATTTATAAAATACAAGAACACATTACAGCGCCTAGACTTTTTTCTTTTTTTAAACTGCTCATTTGCCTTCTTTGCACCCAGCTGAAGCTTTTGTTTGCTCTCCTCTGAGAGTTCTCAGCTGATTTTACTCATCGATCTGTTCTTTGCTACATTAGCCCAAGACCCACACAACCTTCCCTGGAACTGACCGTGTTCATCTCGGGAGGCCCTCGAGGATCCTCCTGAGGTAAATGACTCCACTCTGGTCAGCTCAGGATGCTGTGGAGCAGAGAAACCGGTGTCCTTCTTGGAGAGCTGCCTTCATCTCCTTGAACTGAGCCAACTGGCAGGCCTCGTCCAGCCCCAACCAGCGGTAGGCTTGGTGCTCTCGGGAGAGTCGGATCTCCACATTGTAGTCCTTCACCTCGGCCAGCCAGTAGATGACTGTTTTCGGCTTCTCCCAGGCCACATATCTGAGCTCCCTTCTGAAGCCCTCAATGACTGTCAGCTGGTCTGCCGCTATGCCCGCTTCCTCCTGAGTCTCCCGCAAGGCTGTTTCCAAGTCATTCTCTCCTGGTTCCACATGGCCTGGTTAGGAAACAAGAGGAAAAGGAGCAAGAGATAATCTTCAGCAAAGGTGGAATTTTAGGTCTGATGATTTAAAGATGGGGTCTTTGGTGACTTTTCTAGATGTTGCTAGGCTAAAGGGGGCCTAGAGAGGGGCGATATCCTAACACGCCTAGGAGTGGGGCACAGAGTGGGTAGTGTCTGGACAATTCCTCCTCTGCACCCCATCTTCTCTGCAGAGGGTTAAAGAGATCATGTGTTTGGCAAGTCTGTCTAGAAGACGGCTCTTCAGTGGTGAGAGAGATGGCCTCCCTCAGACCTTCACTTTCTTATCCTTTGGAGCTCTCCTCAACCCGTGTTCTCAGGGAGACCTTTCCCCTGGAGACCTTAAATTGGTTTTCTGAAGGAGGAGCAGTCCCTTCTTGGCAGACAGGAGTTGGCTGAAGAGGGAGCACTTTGCCTACAATCTGCAGTGAGGACTTAACACTGTCTTAGTTGGTCCCTGAAGTCCCAGGGCCAACAGACAGGCTCCAAGCCCTGCACTGCAGCACCGGCAGCTGTTTCCAAGTAGCTATCCAGGCTTTTCCAAATTGTTTTCATCTTTTTAACTGAGCAAGGCCAGATTCCAGTTTCACAGGGAAATTCCTGATGGGAACTCAGACTAAGGACACAAGCTGAGAGCCAGTTCTAAGAAAATTTGTTGGCAAGACCCAAACCCAAGGAGACAGCTGCCAGGAAACTGTTCTAGGAGAGTCTGAAGCTCTGCAGACTGGGAGCAGCCCGTAGTTTTGCCTCTAGGCCCTCCCCGCAAATTCTCAGCCTGCCTGAAGGGGCCAAGAAGGACAGGGAGGGGTCTGGCAGCCTCTGTCAACACATGGTTCCAGTGAGCTGCTGGGGGCCTCCTGGTTCAGGAGCTCCTGGGGAGCAGGAATTGTTAGCTCTTCCCTTCTTGGTTCAGGGACAGGCCTATATCCTAGCTCTCCTCCTTCTCAGGGTTCTCATAGCAGTGCCCTGAGCCAGAGGGGCTAATGTAAAGCTCCCACAGAAAGAGCAGGAGCTTTTGATCCTTTCTGACATACAGATAAAATCTTTAAAAACAAAACAAAAACCAGTTAGGAGTCAGGACTTAAAAACCTATCTTAGTTCCTGGCTTCTGGGGAATTTTCTCTGTACAGCACTTCATGTAGTGGTGTACACAAAGCCAGGGAGGTACTGCATGGGGGGCGGGGAGAAAGGGGTGTTGGTGGTGAGAGGTGACACTGATCCTGATGCCCCATCTGTCCTCAGAAATGTGGGGAATCTGTGAACATGCCCTTCCCAAAAGCATCTGTGCTCCATTCTACCCAGCAGTGTGAACTTGATAACCTCTTTCCAGGCCCAAGCGGGACAAAATCTAGAGAGGTCCTTTGAAATCTTTCAGTGAGAGGTACTATAATATGACTTTGGCGATCAGGAGACAAGTGTGAACATTCCTATTCATAGTATTTGTGACACTTCTGTCCCTCTCTTTCACCTTATTTCTCCTTAGTGAAATGCAAATGTGCAAAGTCTATTTCCTGTTTCCCTTTCCTTATTTTCCTCCAATGCTGGATCCTTGTTCACCCCTCTCCCACAGCATTCCCCTTTAGAGTCCCTGCTCCCTTCTCAATGGGTTGCTCATTCAGGGCTCCTGACCTGTAATCCAGTAATGACTTGACCCCAAGGTCAAGGCCTTTTCTCTTACCCAGCTATTTACCACCAAGGCTGGCACTCCAGTGAAACACACACACACACACGTGCTGCTTCTGCCCGGGGATTCGGAGTTGTATTTCCAGCTCTGACCTGGCATGTCAGGTACTTTCTGTATGTCAGAAAGGATCAAAAGCTCCTGCCCACCCTACCCCCTCCTACCGCACAGTCACTGGGATGTAAGCTTTATGGGGGGCCTGATAGGGTAGCTTTCCAAGCAATGCTTGGCACTTTCTCGAGAGCCAACCGTTCTGCCTTGCACCTTTGGGAGGAGTCCAGTGATGAATGCCGTCTGATGCCTGCAGCAGTAGAAACTCAATTTTAGGTTTGTCCACCGTAGAAATGAGGCATCTTCGGAAGATGATCAAGCCACACGCTCTCAGGGCCATGGTCTATCTGAGGACTTAATGAAGAAGATGGGAAACATTAGGAAGTTACACAAAACAGGAGGATCGGGGCACCTGGGTGGCTCAGTGGGTTGAGCCTCTGCCTTTGGCTCAGGTTGTGATCTCAGGGCCCTGGGATGGAGCCCCGTATCCGGCTCCCCACCTAGCAGGGAGCCTGCTTCCCCCCCTCTCTCTGCCTGTCTCTCTGCCTACTTGTGATCTCTCTCAGTCCTATAAATAAAATCTTTAAAAACAAAACAAAAACCAGGAGGATCCATCCTGGAGGCAGCCTCTGGTGCTGGGAAGTAGCACAGATCAGCTAATGGTGACCTCATCAACTACAGAAAAAGGCAGCATTCCAAGGACCAGTGTGTGGAAACCAGGAATCAGGGACTGATTTGTGAGTGATGGTAGGACCCTGCCCTCTACCCCTCAGGGCTGGCAAGTGTGTCTTAGGAGAACAGAGGTCCTCAGAGGCAAACCCACTGAACCTGGAGAGATGCTGGGAATGGGTGAGATGAAGAACATCATCCTCAAACCCACGGTCCCATTTCCCTCCGCCTCCAGCCTGAGTCTGAGGGACAGAGACTACAACGATGGGGTTTCTGATGGTCTGAGGGGTCACTTAGGAAAGGGAGCTTGGTGTACTAAAAAAACATTTTTGTTATTGATGTTGTATATTGTGTACTAAAAACATTTTGTTATTTTAGTCTTTTATCCATGTTTTAGAATGTTATACATTCACATGGTACAAAATTCAAAGTACAAAAAGGCACACACAGCAGTCAGTCTCTTTCCCACCCGTGAGAAGCACACTAGCATAGTGGTCAAGAGTGTGACTCTACAACCTAGGGTTAAGTTCTGACTTTGCCACTTACTCACTGTGTGATTAGCTTCTAAGTCTGTTTCCTCTGCTGTGAGACAGGATAGTAACAATTCTACCTCAAAGGGCTGCTGTGAGGATCACATGACTTAACTTTTGTAAAGTTAAGTTTTTGTAAAGCTTTTGAACAGTGCCTGGCATCTAATAAGCCAGTACGTTTCAACAGGCACAGGAAAATGTCTGGAAGGATACACATCATTAATAGTATTTTCTGGAGGATGAGATTATGGCAAGACCTTCATTTGCTAGTCCCTATACCTCTTTATTGTTTGGAAGTTCACAGAGGACATTTATTAATTTTACGATCAGCAATTCAGTAAAGACTGAAAATTTGTAGTCTTCTTCATTTTAGTTACCTTTTTTTTTTTTTTAAGATTTTATTTATTTGAGAGAGAGATAGCGAGAGAGCACGAGCAGAGGGAGAGGGAGAAGCAAGCTGCCTGTGAGCAGGGAGCCCAATAGGGGACTCGATCCCAGGACACTGAGATCATGACCTGAGCTGAAGGCAGAGGCTTAACCGACTGAGCCGCCCAGGCGCCTCTTTCCCACCCAGTGAGAAGTGGTTACTTTTCTTTCCATTTCAGAAAAGAGCACCACCACCAACAAAAGACAGAAAGGGAGAAGAGCGGGGAATTTCTGCAGCAGTGAAAAAACAATGCATCACCTGAAGGGGGCATGTCATCAAGGTAACAAAGAATATGGAAGATCTCTTATGTAAGCCTTGCTAAAGAAAATGTCATTGGTTCGTCAACAAATATTTATTGAGTACTGACTATGTAATAAGTACTGTGCTAGGCCTTTGCTCTTAAGCAGTCTATATTCTAAGGGGAGAGGCAGATTTTTTTTTTTTTTTTAAGATTTATTTATTTGAGAGAGAGAGAGAGCGAGAGAGCACGTGCACATGAGCTGGCAGGGGGTAGGAAGGGGGAAAGAATCTTAAGCAGATTCCATGCTGAGCTCAGATCTCATCCTGGGGCTTGATCCCACAACCCTGAGATCATGACCTAAGCTGAAACCAAGAGTTGGACACTTAACCAACTGCACCACCCAGGTGCCCTGGAAGAGGCAGATTTTAATAAAATAAGCAGATTAAAAAATAATCGCCAATAAGGAATGTGCTACAAAGGGAAAATGTGTGATTGGTAACCTGACCTCGTCTGAGGGATCAAGGAAGGCTTCCTAGAATAAGAGATGTTTGAGCAGAGATGTAAGGAGGAGTAAAAGATAAGTTGGCAATGGGAAGGAGGGAGAAAGTGTGTCCCAGGTGGAGGGAAGAACAGTATGGGCAAAGGCCCCGAGGTGGGATGGCAGGAAAAGAAAATCAGGTGTCTCAAATGTAGCAAAAGCCTAGGACAACGGGCCAGGCAGGAAAAGATTCGAATCAGTTGGGCCTCATCTGCAAGATTCCAAGGCCAAAGAAGGCACTGGTGGACAGATAGCAGAGCTGATGCACCGCTGGAGCTGGAGGTGATGTCTCCATGGCTCCCTTGCTGTTAATCAATATGAGCCTGGGGGCCCCTGGGTGGCTCCGTTGGTTGAGCGTCTGCCTTCTGCTCAGGTCATGGTCCAGGGTCTGGGGATAGAGCCCCACGTCTGAGAAATCCCTGCTCAGCAGGGAGCCTCCTTCTCTCTCTCTCTGTCCCTCCCTCCCGCTCTCTATCTCTCTCTCAAATAAATAAAATCTTTTTAAAAAATAAGGTAGAGCCAAATGTGCTGCTTTTAAAAAATTTTCAGATATACTTTCAGACAAGTGAAAAAAGTCTGGTTCAGCATAAAATGTATAACACATCCTGTTTAAAAATTCACATGTAAATTGGTAACAGGCCTTTTTAAAAATGTATTTATTTATTTATTTATTTGAGGGAGAGAGAGAGAGAGAGAGCGCGCGAGCACGAGCACGTGCTCAAGCATGAGCAGGGAGGGGAGGGGAGAGGAAGCCGACTCCCCACTGAGCAGGGAGCCACACCTGGGGCTCAATCCTAGGATCCTGAGATCATGACCTAAGTGGAAGGCAGACACTTAACTGACTGAGCAACCCAGGTGCCCTAGTAGCAGGCTTTTTTAAACATTATATTCTAGTTTCCTGGTCTCCCTATTTATGCCAAGAACTTTTCCCATTCTGGAAACCAGAAAGCAACACCCTGTCACCACAGAACTCTCAGACAGAGATTTCAAATTACTGGTTCTGGTTCAGGTAAAAACAGGCACCTGATCCCCTGCCCTCCTATCAAAATGCTCATTAAGTATTAGCAAGTTCCAGATGAAGGGCACCTTGTTCCTGCTTTGTGTAGAGTCTCATGGAATGAATGCTGGAATCCCTAGATAAGCTTAGGGATCTAAGACTAGAGGGCAGTGCCCTGCCTGGGACAGGAAGCCCCAGAGCTGTACGCCATTGCCATCACCCATACACCATGGGGAAACAAAAGTACCTGGATGAGAGGCCAAGAAAAACAGGCCTGAGGGGTGGCCATGTGGAACCACTGGAAAGAGGGGAACAGACCAATATTTTCCCATGGGGGGAGAACCTTAGGGTAGTGACAAGGGCATATCTAGCAAAAATGTATCTCAGTAGATACCAATGCATAGGGATAACCACATCTAAGAACCAAACGATCCAACAGTTCATCTCAATGGAACCAGAAGAGCTAGAATCAAGAGCTAGGATCAGATGTCCACTTACTATCTATGCTGAGGACCCATGGAGAGGACAGCTGTTCTCTGAAAGGCAAAACTCCCATCTACCCTTTGGCTTGAGCCAGCTGTTCTTTAGAATCTCTCCCCTTCCCACATACACATTACTTCCTACTCATGCTTTCAAAAGTAGCACAGAAGAAAGCTCTTTTGTGAAGCTTTCTAGCTTCTAATCATTCCATCTTCCGGGCCTTCAACATGGCTTGAATAAACTTCTGCAAGGTTTGATTGGAGAAATAGAACACTATTAGAAAGTTAAAGAGTTAGTGTAGGGATTAGATCTTGTGCAATTATGGAAGTTGATGGAGAAACTCATGCAACTCTGTCAACTCTGCATCTGGTGTTGAGGCTGAAGTCTCTATATTTCAGCAAGGGGGAAGGGAGGCTGGATGCGAAGTGGAGAGCAAGGAAACTGGAACTTGTGTAGACAAACCAGATCCTATGAGGACAAGTAGAACTCCTGAGGACAAACCAAAACCTGTGACTTCCTTTCACCATCTCCTAGCTCATTAACGTGGGTAACTTCAAGGAGCTGGAGCCCTTTGCCATACAGCTGAATGTTCATCTGGCCCGTCACCCGGATTATCTGCAGGAGGAGATACAGCAGGAGTTGGAGAGCTGCAGGCCTGGGTGCTTTATCTGGCACCAATAAGGTGAACCAGCGCATCAGCATCCAAAGGGAGGCACTGCACATGCTTGGTATCCTGTTCTGTCCTTCGCAGCATGCTGGCTGCTACTTCACTTCAGCTTTCCAAATCTTGCACACGATTTTCCTGAGGTTGACCCTAACTTGGAACCATATAGGAAGGGAATCCTGGGAAACACAGTTCCAGCTTAGCCAAGTGGACACAGTACAAAGCCAGCACAAGCACAATACCTAGTCTGGTAAGTCTCAGTCTGTACCTTTGGCAGGGAAAAGCCAGACTACGCACTCTGTCTCCTTGGGACCCAGCACAGCAGCTTGCAACAGATGTTCATGGACTCAACAGAACACTCTCCCCACATCCCACTCAAACAAATGCTCAGGGTATGTTCTGGGATTTTGGGAAACAGCCCAGTGTTTTCCTGAAGAGTGCCATTTACATAAAAGTCAATGGAGCTATTGTTGTAGGTTTTCTGTTTTTCTGGAGACCAACGAGTAAAACTGTCCTGGGGTTTAAAAGGAGCCAGCTTATAGAGAAACACACACACATACACACACACAGGCACACATCACGCATGCTCCAAGTAGATTCAAACCTCAGGGGGTTAAAGAACACAGCATCCAATATGCAAATGTGCTTGCAGCCAGGATTGCAGAGATGAGAACTCCAGGCTGACAGCAGGCAATTCACACTTCAGAAAAGTGGCAAAGTGCCTTAGGTGGTTAAAAAACAAAACAAAACAAAAAAAACCCTGAACAAAAAACTCCTCAATGTCATCAGAAGGTTCCAGAAGCTAAGGAAAAGTGCTCTTGCCTTTCTCTAAATATACATTTCCCTTACAGCTTAGGAGATTCAGAACCTAGGTGCCAAAAAATAATTCACAGATAAATGGCTGTACTGATACGTTGTGTTCCAGTGTTTTCATCAAATTAATCAGTGTGCAACTGCAAGCATAGCTCAGCCCCCAAAGCCCTCACAAATATACCTTTAGATACAGAAAGACCTCCCCAAATCCTCTCAGTGTGTTCCTTATAATCTAAAATCCCTTTTGCAGAAATGGTTTCATGCCACCATGTTATCAATGAAGCGTTCCCACTGGGCCAGCTACACTGTGCCAGGTTCTTCACGTGTGTATTTTAAATGCTCAAGACAAATCTTCATCATAAGCAGGATCGTCTCCAGTTTTGGATGAGGAAACTAGGACTCAAAAAGGTTAAAATACTAGCCCAAGCGCATAGCCGGCCTGTGAATGGCAAGATTGGAATCCAAGGAAGCCTAACTCCAAAGTGTGTATTTTTTCCCCCTTCCTCAGTTCCGCTTAATGTGAAAAAGCAGACCTTAGGGCACAAATGGTCCGGAGAGAGGACACACAAATAATTTATAAAATTATTTCCAGTTCTAAAATTCCCAGTCTTTGATCTATATTCGCATTGAAGATTTTTAAGGTACCTGGCTGGAATCCTTTCCACAGGACCAGTTTTAGTTGGGGCGGAAGAAGGAGGGAGGGTGTGTAGATGAAGGTCCTGGTGTCCAGAGTTGACCCTGGAGAGGTAAAGTATAGCCTGAGGCCCCGAAACTTTGCCTATCTGATAAGAGTCTCTATGCGTTCTCTGCTTTTTCTCTGGGAAGAAGGAACCTCTATCACATGTTCAAAACCATATCAGGTAGCCTGGGGGTTCCCAAGAACCAAGTGTTGGGAATACCTTCAAATGCCAGCCTTGGACAAGCACACAAGCAACTAATTTAGCGTGCTGGTATCCAGGAAAGTTGCCCAGGCCACTCCACAGTGAGAAGGAAGGCCAACTCTGCCTGCCTCCAGATAAGCGGCTCTGACTGCTCGGTTTTCCCTCTCTTCCCACATCATAATGGTCTTTTCTGATCCTCCAACTCCCTCCCTTGCAACGGACTGAACAGAAATGAGGTGCCCATCTGTGAATAAAGCTCCTTCTTATAAAAACAACAAAAAGAGAAAAAGAAAAAAGAAAAGGAAAAAGCTCCCAACTACTGTGAATAAATTGAAACAAAGAAAATGCCTTCTCAATTGGACATTTTCCTGGACATCTGCCACTCTCTTTTCTCATCGAAACCAACCTGCTGAGTCATCTTGCTATCTTTACTATTTGGCTGAAGGCAGAAACAGGAGATTTCACCTGTAATGGCATAAATAATTGGCTTCTAGGATGAGGCCAAAGTCAGATAAGGTTGGAACAGAAATCATTCCTCATAAAGGGGATCTGTTAAGTGGCCTATTAGTGCCACCTGCTGTACAATTCTAGAAAGCAAACATGGGGAATTCTAATATTAGAGCCTGAAGGGATTTACTTACTCATCTAACATCTGTTGAGTGTGTCCCACTTGACAAGCAGTGTGACAGGATTGAAGAGTGGATATGAAGCTATTATAAAGCCCCAGCTTTCTAAGGGTTCACAGCCTCATGAAAGCGGAAGGGACTTAGACAAGTTGCCAGTTTATTTTGAGCTCCATAGGGGTATGTGTAAGATGGAAAGGAAGCAAAAAAAAGTGACTATCTTTGGGTCAAAGGGGCACCCCATAAGGATTCTGATGGATGGCTAGGAATTCACCAGGCAGAATAAAGGTGCAGGCAAGGGGCATTCCAAGCAAAGGGAGGAGTGTGGGCAAAGACCCTTAAGAACAAAATGACATTCCAATGATAACAGTTTAGTTTATATTCTTTGGCAATGAGGAGTAGCTTTTGACCGGTTTTAGGCAGGGCTGGCAATATGGTCAGACTGACATTTTACAAAGACATTCTGGCAGGGTACCTGGGTGGCTCAGTCGTTAAGCATCTGCCTACAGCTCAGGTCATGATCCCGGGGTCCTGGGATCAAGCTCCGCATCGAGCCCCACATCAGGCTCCCTGCTTGGTGGGAGGCCTGCTTCTCCCTCTCCCACTCCCTCTGCTTCTGTTCCCTCTTTCAGTGTGTGTCTCTCTCTGTGTCAAATAAATAAAAAAAATAACATCTTAAAAAAAAAAGACATTTGGGCAGAAAGGAAGGTGGAGAATAGAAGATTGCAGGCAGGAAGACCAACTAACAAGCTTATTGACAACAGTCCAGATGACAAATAATACAGAGTTAAAATAAGGCAGAGACCCGGAGAAAGGAGAGGAAGGTATGAATTTGAGAGATCTCTCAAAACCAACAGTATCTAATGTTTCATTGTCCAAGGAAGAGGGGCGGGGAGGGGGAGAGAGAGAGAGAGGGAGAGGTTGTTTGGTTTGAGTGACTAGAGAAGTTGGTGGAACAGGGAGTAGAAAGTAAGCTAATGATTTGTTTGGGAAAAGATGAATTTGAAGTGCTGTTGACTACCCACAAGGTAAATGAAAGGATGGAATTATGCTCAGGGATCATCTCATTCCATCTCTTCATTTCCAAAGGTGAAAATTAACCACTGGAGAGAGATTTTGCTCCCACCGTAAAAACCTCTGCAAGTCACCTCCCTCCACTTGGGTAGTCTGCCTGTGCATCTGGTATTCAAAGGATTTTATCCTCCTTCAGAGAGTTAAAAACATGGAAAAGCATGGCTAGCTTTGCAGTGAGAAAGATCCAGCTCCCTAATTCAACAGTTATATTACTTTAAGCAAAATACTTCTGTAAGGCTCATTTTCCTCATCTGTAAAATGAGGGTAACTTCTACTTTACATGATTGTTGTAGAGTTTAAAATAAAAACACATACATAGGATCTGACATATCAGAAGTACGGAGCATATGAGTCACTTTCACCCCTGTTATCATCAAAGGTCATCAGGAAGCTTCTGGCATGCTCTTACCTTCTATTGATAGTTGAATCAAGAAATGGTTTTTCATATTTCCAGCAAAACTGCTCACCACACCATTATATTCCTTATGCATAAAATACTACAAGATAAATTTCTTTCAATATAAGTACTAGGAAGAAATTCCACTCTTTTGAAAAATGGTTTGCCTTTATTATTTCTCTGACAAGTTTTGAGCTAAATTGGGTACTTGCAGTTAAGTCTACTGGCCTTGTGAGCTAGTATATTTGTTTCTATTATGAAGGTAATAGGTACCATTTTTTGAGGCATTGTGCCACGTGCTTTACTTTCATTATTTCACTTCATTTTCACAACCTTCTGAGTGTTTACCACGATTTTGCAGAAGAGGAAAAAGGAAAGCAGCTCTGCCTGACTTTCAACATTATTGCTCTTAACCTGGACTCTGTAGTAGCGTTTTACATTTGGCTATTTGATTGCATTCAGTTTATTTTCTCTCTCTCCCTCTCTCCTTTCTTTCAGAGATACAATAACAAATACATAGGTGCCAAACCAGGCCATAGCAAAGGAAAAGTAAGTTTTGTTTTAGGTGATGGGGCTCTCGTGTGATTTTTTTTTTTTAACTACTGCTATAATTGCCAAGATATTATCAGTTCAATAGATGAAGCCATTAGAACATACAAAATCTCGGGGTGCCTGGGTGGCTCAGTGGGTTAAAGCCTCTGCCTTTGGCTCAGGTCATGATCCGAGGGCCTTGGGTTCGAGCCCCGCATCGGGCTCTCTGCTCAGCAGGGAGCCTGCTTCCTCCTCTCTCTCTACTTGTGATCTCTGTCAAATAAATAAAATCTTAAAAAAAAAAAAGACCATACAAATTCTCTTCTGGAAAGCAGACAGGGTATAAAGGGTAACAACAAAGTGAAACTGGGGCCGCCGGTCGCTAAACTCGGAACTCTGGAATTCCGATGTCCCACCCCATCACCATCAGCAAGCGGGCCAGCAACCTCAGAGCCACAGAACCCTCCCGTTTCCCTGTGCACAGAGGAAAACTAAGGTCCTGCGAGCGGCCGGGGCCTGGCCTGCCCACGCTTCAGTGACAGCCTGATGCGTCCACCCTTGACGGTGCAGCGATTCGCATCGCTCCAACGCTCAGTTCCTCCGTGGAGAAGTGCACCCAGTGGGCCCTCTCTAAGACTACTCACCCAAAGCCTAGGGCCGCAGGAGGCAGGCCTTGAACAGAAAGGGGGAAGTACGACGACCAATCCCGAAGGTTCGGTTGCGCTTATAGCGACCAACAGGATAGGGCAGAAGGCCCCTCCACCCGCCTCAAGGATGCCATACTTTCACTTAGAACTCGCGAGATCTTCACTCAAGCGGTTCGATTGGTTGAAAGACGCAGTTTGAGAGTTACGCCCACTGCTTCCTCGGATCCCTGGTTGGTCTTCTGGAGAAGAAGGACTCACACGTCAACGAGTTTCCCCGGTGCCCATTGGTGGATGAGGCGGGGCTGCCGGCGCCCGGGCGCCAGCGCGGGCGTTCGAACCCGCGCTTGGTGGCGTTACCATGGGGATGCGGCCGGGCCGGCGCCCCAAAAGCTGGTGAGTTGACAGCACGCTCGCCAACTTGGGGCTCTCCTGTCGGCATTGTCTTCTGTCTTCAGACAGGGTTGACCGAAGGGGACCTGGGAAGCCACTGAGGTGAGAAATGGTGGGGAGAACCGGGGAGGAGTGGGGTAGGCCTCTGCCCCGCGGGAGAGGGCACTCTGGACGCCTGCCGAGCGCGAGAGGAGGCGGCGGTTGCAAGGAAACCGGGGTTTGGTCTCGCCTGGTTGTTCGAATGCTCGCCTGCTTTCCTACCCTTTATCTCCTTATCTCTGCCTTTTCTTCAGTGATTCTCTCGAGTGCTACTTCTCCCACGAAGCCTTTCTGAGTCTCGAAGTCTTTCCTTTGAACCGATGGCCCTGAGTGGAACCTTTCTTAGGGCACTTCTCTTCGGCCTTGGGTGATTTGTGTACTTCCGTAAGCCCCATTCTCCTTGTTCCTCCCTTATCATTTAGAGGTCTTTGAGGCAGAGCGACGTCTTTCATTCCCAGTGTCTTACACACAGTAGAGTTTTCAGGAAATTTTTGTTGAGTTGAAGTTAATTCACTAGAAATAGATTGGATTCCTCTCTGTGCACTGCCCTGTTTTTCCTCCCATTTAGAGGGTTTGTTGTTGTTGTTGTTGTTGTTGTTGTTATTTTTATGGGAATAGAGGGAGGGTACCCTAATCTCATATTCGGAAGGGCCAGAAAGTCCACCGTGGGCCTTTCCACTGTTTGTGAAAAGGAAAATCTTTTTGGAATGCTTGCTACAACTCTTCTGGCATTGTGGCTTTTAGTCTTAATATCCCAGTGCTTTTATTAAACTCCTTAATGAATCTTTGCTTAAAACAAACCATTCTGTTGTTGCTGAATGCCAGGAGTATCTCAGTTTCTCAGTGACCCACAGCTATTGTCACATTTTAAGAGTGCTGTGAGACAGTTTTGAAGCATTTTCTCCTTTGTATTCTCCTTGTAGTCTCTGTGCTTCAGGTGCATGTAGCAGCTGCTCTGGTAGCTATCTGTTGGTCAGCTGTCTGTGATAGAAGTGCATTGCCAAGGCTGTCCTTTTGTCAACTCATGAGACTATATATGGCCAGTCCGGATTGTTGATGATTCTCATGTGAAATTCGTAGCTCAGTGATGTTTTTAACAAAAGGATTGGAAAAGTCAGGTGTAGCAGCTATGTTATTATTATCTTCTTAATAAAAGTTTGACCACAACCATATAGCTAAACTGCAGATCTGTGACATGTAATAGAAATTGGATTGGGGATTCAGGGTTTGTCTTTGGCTCTGTCTCTATTCACTTACTGTGGCTGGCTTTGCAAGTCATTTAGCCCTTTTAGATATCACTTTTTCCAGCACAAAGTGTTGAATTAGATTAGAATTCCTGTGGCTCTATCAACTTAGTCAAGCAACTGGATATTTTTTAAAATTCCAGTATAGTTAATATACAGTATTATTAGTTTCAGATGTACAATATACTGGTTGAACAATTCTTTACATTACTCAGTGCTCATAAGTGTTCTCTTAATCCCCTTCACCTGTTCACCCATTCCACCCACCCACCTCCCCTCTGGTAACTATCAGTTTATTTTCTGTATTTAAGAGTCTGTTTTTTGGTTTGTCTCTTTTCTTTGTCCTTTTGTTTCTTAAGTTCCACATATGGGTGAAGTGAGACAGTATTTGTCTTTCTCTGACTTTCTTTTTCTTTCTTTCTTTCTTTCTTTCTTTTTTTAAAGATTTTATTTATTTGACAGACAGAGAGAGAGAACACAAGCAGGGGGAGAGGGAGAGGGAGAAGCAGGCTTCCCGTCGAGCAGGGAGCCCAACTGGGGGCTCGATCCCAGGACCCTGGGATCACGACCTGAGCCAAAGGCGAATCTATCGACTGAGCCACCCAGGCGCCCCCATCTGACTTATTTCACTTAGCTTTTTACCCTCTAGATCCATCCATGCTGTTGCAAAATGGCAAGATTTCATTTTTTTTATGGCTTCATAATATTCCATTGTATATATCTTCCATCTTCTTTACATGTTCATCTATGAATGAATACTTGGGCTGCAAGTAATGCTGCAATAAATAATGCTGCAATAAACATAGGGATGCATATATGCTTTTTTTTTCTTTTGAGAGAGTGCATGTGCAAAGAGGAGAGGGGGAGGGGCAGTGGGGGAGGGAGAAAGAAACTCCCCTCCCCACAAAGATTGTATTTGTTAGGGGCACTGGGTGGCTCAGAGGGTTAAGCCTCTGCCTTCAGTTCAGGTCATGCTCTCAGGGTCCTGGGATCAAGACCCACATCGGGCTCTCTGCTCAGCAGGGAGCCTTAAAAAAAAAAGATTGTATTTGTCAGAACGCATGTACACGAGAGAGAGCATGCACGGGGGGACAGGAGGCAGAGGGAGAAGCAGGCATCCCACTGAGCAAGGATCCTGGATCATGACCTGAGCTGAAGGCGGACACCATCCAGGCCTTCTGAGAAAGAAAATCTTAGGCAGGCTCCACACCCAGTGCGGAGCCCAATGTGGGGCTCAATCTCACAACCCTGAGATCATGACCTGAGCCAGAAATCAAGAGTCTGTTGCTTAATGGACTGTGCCACCCGGTGTCCCTATTTTCAAATTAGTGTTTTTGTATTCATACTTGTATGCACCAGTTTGCATTCCTCCCAACAGTGCACCAGACTCCTTTTTCTCGCTTCACCAACACTTGCTGTTTCTTGTGTTTTTTTAATTTAACCATTTTAACAGATGTAAGGTGATATCTTTTTGTGGTTTTGATTTGCATTTCCCTGATATTATTGATGTTAAGGATCTTTTCATGTGTCTGTTGGCCATCTATATGTCTTCTAGGGAAAATGTTCATTTCTTCAAGCAATTGGTTATTGATGTCAGGTGAACATCACATGTTCAGCCTTCCAAGGACTGTACAGCTGAAACTGATAGCTGCCACTTATTGAGCATTTCCCCTGTGCAAAGCACTATATCAGGGTTTTATATAAATATTACATTTTTCTTAGCATAGTACATCAGTGTACTGCCTACATAGCATTTCATTAAAAGCTTTTGGTTTATGTTATTCATTTAAGTCTTAGCTGTTATATGTCTTAATACAGTGTCTGTGGGGCAAACTAGGGCATGATCCTCTCATCTTCCGGTTTGGGAGAAACAGCAGTTTCTTTGGGCTGCCATTTCATTGTTTGTAAAGTAAGATGTTGATCTCTTCTCAGTCCCTTACAAATTAACTGATCAATTAATCCACTTTCTTGTACTGCCTTAGCAAACCTGTTCATAATTTTTTTAAAACCTGTTCATAATTTGTGCAGAGTAAATCCTCAATGAATTTTTTGTTAAATGAGTAATAGAGTTTTTCTCATACCTTGAGTGTTGAGTATAAGTATTGTGTTCATTGTATACTTCCCTAGTTATTGTCTTAAGGATTTTGATGTTCATATCCTGTTAAACAAGAAGACTCTTCAATAGGCATAAACTAATAATAGGTATCATTTGTATTGGGAAACTCAGTCTTCGACCATAAGGCAGATGCTTCACCAACTGAACCACCCAGGCGTCCCTCAAAAATGATTTCTTGAGTGACTAGATGGAAGATTCTTGTTGGAGCTGTGACCATAGCTGTGCCCATAGCAATTCATTTGAGAAATACAATCTTGTTTCATTTTATTGCCAAAGGAGTAGTGAGTCAGGGCACCGACTCTGATAGAATTTTCCTGAGCAATCAAATTAACCTGATACAAAAGTTTCTACCACCTATAGCTATAAATGGTATTAAATGCTTTTGTATAGTTTTAAAAATAATGTAGGGATATTTATTCATTTATTCATTAAATAATTATTGAATGTTACTTATTTCCAGACACTGTTTTAGAAACGGGATAAAAAAGGTGAATAAGACACATTCCTTTACCAGAAGGAAATCTTATGTACTAGTGGAGGAAATAGACATCCTCATAGATAATTATTACAGAATGTAACTGCAGTGATAGAGACATGCAAAAGGTATGATATGAACATATAAAGGACTTCCAGCCACATACAAGGAGATCAGAAAAGACCTCATTTATGCTTTAATCATTGGGTAAGAAGTAGGCAGATAAAATGAGGTTTGATGAGATGGGAGGAGACCATTTAAAAGCGCAATGTGAATAAATCCACAGAGAAAACAGTCTAAGAAGTTGACTAAACTGGAAAGAGGAGGGACCGGACCATAGGAAACTTTGTGGGTGTGCTAAGGAGCTTGAACTTCACCCTTTAGATAGATGACAGAATGACAATGAAGGGTTTTAGATAGAGAAGGGTCATGGTCATAACTGTTCTTTCTAAACACTGGTCTACTGTAGTGTAGAAGTTGGTTTGGAGAGGGCAAAACTGGAGGCAGGCAGAGCAGTTAAAAGAGACATATAATTATGTAGGTGAAAGGTACTGGGACTGAACCACCAAAGCTGTGGTGGTTGGAACATGGATCGAGAGAGGACATTTAACAAGTATTTGTTTTTAAATAGACTGAATCTGTTGATTAATTTTGGGATTAAAGCAGAGGAAAGTAATCTAGGATGCTTCTCACTTTAGCTCTGAGTCATTGGTGGATGATAATTGTCATTTACCCACCCCCATGCCACTATCAAGGCAAAAAGGTGGAGGGGCAGTTTTGTGGAGAGGTCATGAGTTTGGTTACTGATGAGCAGTTTAGATGCTTAATCATGGAAACATTTTGATAATGATCCCAGCGTGTTTTTTGCTGCAATACACCTATAAGATTGTCGACTTTATTGTGAGGTGAACTAAAGTTACACTGGAATTCTAGAAGCATCCAACTAATAATATTGTACAATATTAAGGCCAGAAAGACTCTAGGTGAGGTTTCACCAGCAGTGAGGAACAGTCTTTTTTTTTTTTTTAAGTATTTATTTGTTTAACAGAGAGAGCGCACACCTACAAGCAGAGGGATAGGGAGAAGCAGGCTCCCCGCTGAGCCAAGAGCTCAACATCAAGGCTCCATC